AGGAGGAGGAGGAGGAGGGGGAAGAGGTGCATGTTGGCGACGGTGGTGGGGAGGCTCGAGCTGGATCCGTCTAAGGATGCATTTCGGGAGCCCTCGCTGGTGTGCCTTGGTGGACAGGAAGAAGGAGGCAAATGCTGTTTGGAACGTTTTTGATAAATGGAAAATTTTGCATTTACTTGCTTTCATCTGAGATTCCTTGTTGGGGAGGGTTAATTAATTTCGACTTGTCCCATTTTTTTGTGGGGCAAATGCAAATCCACACACACACACACACACACACACACACACACACACACACACACGCCTGCATGCATGCATGCATGCATGTCTGGCCTGATGTGGGCGCCCCTTTGCTGAGTTTTTTTGGCGCGCTGTTGCTTTTATGCTTGTTAGGTGGGTGTTGTGACGGTTGGTGGTGGTAATTTTTGTGCTTCGTGTGTTTCTCCACCTCATCTAGGCACACGCGCGCGTGCACATACACACACACATATACATACAGGCGCGCGCGCGCCACTTGAATTTGCGGTCCGCCTCCGCATCCGTTGGATATTATTCTTTGGAAGGACGGGCAACACTTTGCTTATGTTGTTGTTTACAGGTGAGTGAGTGATGCTGGATCACTTTACCTGCTGAAGTGGAGGTGATGGTGGGCCTCGTGGGATTGTTGGTGTTGGGATATACGCGGATAGCTTCGCGCAGCACAATGTAATGTTTATTTATTGCGTAGACTTGGATACTGGTTGATGTTATCACTTTTGGCGGAAACCATGTGTTTTGTGGCGAAGAAGTAACTGTGCAAGATGGTGCAAATTTTCACGCTTTTCTCCCATTTCCTTTGGCGTCTGTGTGGGCTACCGGGCGCTGGGAGGAAAACGTTGGCGGCGGTAATAGCGGTGTCGGGAAAAAGGCAAGGTTGTGGTTGTTGTTGTTGTGTGGGTGGTGATGGTGGTGGTGACAATTTGGTAGTGAATTTGATCGGGGGACAGTTGGATCATGAAACCCCACGCAGCCGCCGTTGTCGCCTCCGTATGCCTCTTGTGGGAATTGTTTAAAAATTGCCCCCTAGGTTGGCAAATGTCGTGGTGCTGGTGCCGGCGGTGATTCCCCGTTCTCATCAGTTGCCCGGTTTGCTGCAGCAGTAGCAGCAGCAGCAGTAGCAGACACACCGGCACACAGGGAATCACCAAAAAGAGACAAAATCTAGGAAAAGAATGTGGCCACCGAGTAATATCGGCCCACACAAATACACACAGAGAGGCCTCCAGACGCAACGCAGTTTTGTGTCCGTCCACGTCTCGTCTCTCAGGATTTCACCTCCAGGGAAGCGAAACTGCGCTCACCCACACGCATAGAACCCTCGGATCATCCACAAAACACCCAGGAAATCCCCTCATTTCTGCACTCCCATAAATGTTTTTGAAACAAATCTACGGCAAGATATACCTAAAGGCATCTCAGAAACTTTGCTTTCGTTGTGTCGCCATCTAGCGCCCGCGCTCAAGACATCCAAGAACACCAAAACAGAAGCAGGGACTAACTCCCAACAAAACAGTGAAAGGGCCTTTGTGCCTTTTGCTTGGCAGCATTTAAAAGCTCCGAGGAGTCAAGACAACCGTTGAGAACCGGACACAGAACCGGGAAACCGTAATCTCGAGGAATACGAAAGTTGTTCGTGTGGCGGTAAAAACGCGGCATACTGCGTACATGCTCCCCGACGCGACGCAGCTCGGCGCACACCTAAAACGCCCTTAATCGGCTGTGATGATTTGACCACGATGCAGAGCCCGCGCCGTACTACCATGCATTCTCGGTACCATGCACGACGACGTACGATATGACATCACATAACCGTGCATTTCTCTTTCTCTTCCGGTTGCCCCTGCTCCTGCCCGCTTCTTCCCGATGGGAAACGCCACCGCTGCTGCTGTTCCTGCTGCTGCTGCTGTCGTTGTTGTTGTTGCTGCTGTTGTTGCCGGTAGGTGGTCGTGAATGTGCCTCCACGGTACGATCCGCCGCCACCCGCCTGCTTTACAGACGATCACCGTAACCACCACCACCATGACCACACATGCACATACAACAGCACGGGAACGGAACGGACAACAGGCATACAAGTGAAAGAGGCGGCACCGAGTCTACGTGGCCATAACGCGAGGAGGTTGCGGGGGGGCCCATGCATGCAAAACAAACACAGCGACGCTCTTCAGCTCCCGAAATCCTCCCGCGCCACGCAAGTTCATTTAAACTGCAGCCCGCCCACTCACCCGGCCTTGTTGAGGGCCCTGCTGCTGCTGCTCCTGCCGCCTCAATCGCTCCCCTTCCCGCCGGATCGCCGCCGCCTGCTCCTCCTCTTCCTGTTGAAGCCGGAGCGCCAAGGCCAGATCGGAGTCCAGGTGATGGGGCTGCTGCTGCTGACGCTGATGATGTTGATACTGTTGCTGCTGATAGTGCTGTTGTTGCTGATGCTGATGCTGATGATGTTGATACTGTTGCTGCTGATAGTATTGTTGCTGCTGCTGCTGCAGTGGCGGTGGTGGTGGTGGTGGGTGAAGAAGTACCTGCTGGTGCGGCTGCGGCTGTAACAGCGGTGGCGCGATGGAGTGGGGCATGAGGCCCGCAGGCCCCGCCACAGCCCCAGCAGTCGCCGGCTGGGGCGGCGCGGTCGGACGGTTTTCCAGCTCCAGACCTGACACGTCCAGAAACGTGTCCCCACTCAGGTCCTCTAGGGCCATCCGCTCAGCCTCGTCCTGCGCTAGTACGGCAGCTACGGCAGCCGCATCCGCCTCGCTCATCAGCACGTCTGCACCTACACCATCGGCGATGACGATGGCGGGGAAACAGGTGAAAGGTGTAAGAAGGCTGAATTCCTGGAAACAAATTGAAAAGCCCTCGCCAAGATATTCAGGACTACTAAACCTTGAGCTTGCGAAAGCGTACACAATTCTCCTCCCCTCCCTTCTCGTCGTGCTCCGCCGCCTCTTCGTTTTCCATGCTTCGGCTTCCGCATGTGCCAAATTGATGCAATATATATAAATTGTTTTTGCCTCTTCTGCATGGGCCTTAATAATATTATTATACATAAATTATATACATAATATACATATGTGTGTAGGAGGGTGGCGAATGGATAGTAATCCACCTGTTGTCACCATGCACCCTTCTATACACACATGAACAGTGGCCCCTCACGCCCCTCCCCTTTCCCCCGGGCGGCTTTGTTCGTTGGAGCTGGGCAGCAGCCCTGGCCAGCGTCAGGCCGGGCAAGATACTTGTAACAAACATACACACATACACCGCAGAGTGCGCCCACCCAGCCTTCTTTGCAACCCAAAAAAAACGAGCAAGTGTGAAACCCCTTCCTCAGCTTGAGCAAGAGCTTCACATACAGAGTGCTCACCACATACCTGCAAGGCCAGCGGAGGCGGCGGCCCCTCCCTGGGGCTGACCCTCCCGGTGCGGCCGAAAGGGGGAAAAGTCGGCGCCGCAAAACTGCGTGTCGCCCGCCACGCTGGAAAGATGCTCCCAAACCACATCAGCTGTCATTTCCATACATGCGTGCGTACGGCATGGTGAGGAGCACAAGCATGCGACGCGTGGCGCAAATGACGTGGGATACATGACGCAGGGGGGGGCCCCGCCGGGTAAGAGGGGACGGATACGTTGTGTGTATTTGCGTTGTGTATGTGTGTGTATGTGTGTGTATGTGTGTGTGGTGTGTCTCAGGCGAGCGAAGCGTGAAGCAAAAAAAATAAAAGACTGAGTGCTCCAAATGCTCAAAACATGTACTTCCCGCGCCCTCAGTTTACACGCGGCGCCTAAAGCTGCAGCAGCAGCTGCAACATCAATGAATCCACCAGTCCAAAAGCGTCCCACCGCTCCAATGGTGACCCCGGTACTGGCGGTGCTGGCAATGGCGACAACAACAACAACAACAACAACAGCGGCGCAATCCGAACTCCCCCCCCAGTCCCCTCACGTTCGTTAAGGTACCCCTGATCCGTCACCAGCAGGAAAACCTGGTGGGTGCTGCCGTGCTTGAATACCACAGAGAAATGGTTGTTGCGGAAAAACACAGCCAGCCTGCCCGGCAGCAGCAATGTAGGGGGCAGGGCGGCGGCGGGGCGAGGGGGAGGGGGAGGGGGGGATTAGATGTAGCAATACCAGCAGGGGAATACACAACTGTCGGACTCAAAGAGCATGAGAAGGAAGGCCATGCGGCAAACAATAAAGAAATAACCAACACCGTACCATGCACGGTGTTGAGAACGGAGAAAGGAGCAGGAAGCGGGCAGGAAAAGATTTCTTCTTCTTCTTCTTTTGCTTCCGCCGCATGGGAAATAAAGTGACAGCGTTCCTAAAGGTATTTCCCTCCTGAACTTCAATGCATAACTTTCCTTTTCTGAACCTGCGTCAAATTTCCGTTCCTAAGCTCCTAGAGCCCTGTTCAGAAAATATGGGATTTCAGCGGACCCTAAACCCCAACAGAAGCAGCCTACAGACTCCAACTCGCACATACATACACACACACCACCTCCACCCTACTTCCCAAACCCTTCCAGTGTTTGTTTCAATAGTAGGCATTACTGCGAATTGCGGACGGCAGTTGCTACTTTCATGACTTGTGTGTCTCACCATACAATGTCCCCACCCCACCCCACCCCAACCCCATTGACTGCCAACCTAGTTAAGAGAGCTCCAGAGGCCATCAATACATCCACCACCCCCACCCCACCCCATCCGACCATGACCACCACTACAACCTCCCTAGCGTGACCACCCCACCCTACCCCACTAACCCCACCCCCACTACCACCATCACCACCACCACCCCATCACACCACCAGCACCACTCCAGGGGGTCCCGTAACTCACTGCGAAGGCCGTAGATCGCTTCGTAGCGCCCTCAATCCGGCCACCGTTAACTGCGAACAGCTGGCTTCTAAGAAGTCACGGGCCACCATGGCTTCATAGATACGACGAGCAACTTGGCTTGCGTCTTCTTCAGCTGCAGCTGCTGCTTCGGCAGCAGTGGCGGCGGCAGTAGCGGCAGGTTGCCGAGCCGCCGTCGTGTCCTGGTCAGGCCATCCTGATGGCGGCAGCGGCTCTGGCGGCGGAGGTGGTGAAGGTGGCGGCGGCGCCGGCGGCAGCGGTGGCGGTGGCGGCGGTGGCCGCCAGCCTAGCAGGTCTGCTAAGTCTATTAGCTGCGACGTCTGGCTGCCACTGATGGCAGCCTCCGCCGGCACCGGCGCCTGCATCGGCAACGGTGCTGCCACCGGGTAGGCCGTCCCCGGCGCCTCCGGCGGCGGCGGTGGCAGCGGTGACGACGCTGTACGGACGCAGCCATTTTGATCGTCGGCGGATGGGGACGCTGCGTCCCCTGTGTCACTGCACCGCGATGGAGAGGTGCTGTCGTTGTTGTTGTCATGAATGTTACTGTTATTGCTGTGCTGCGCTGCCGATGCTGCTTGGGGTGCTGCTAGGCATGCGCTAGCGCCTGCAGTAGCTCGACTTGACGACGTCCCGGTCGCGGCTGCTGGCCCTTCTCCGCTGCCTCCTTCTGCTCCTCCTCCCCCTGCTTCTCTTGTAGTCGCAGACCACCCCGCTGCACCTCCCGCTTCCGTACCTGCTGCCGCTGCTGCGACAGTGTCACGTGAGCAGCTGGGCCCCTCTTCGACAGCACCGGGACAAGGGGCTCCACCGCCACCGCCGCCACCACCCGCAGCCGCTAACGCAACGCCCCATACCGCAGCCCCGCTTGGCAGCGTCACGGGAGACGGTAATGTCCCCGAGGATTGCTGCTGTTGTTGCTGTTGTTGTTGCACGGCTTCCATAGTGGTGATGATCATCTCAATGACTTCGTTGTAGCTGCGGTGGGCCACCACCCGCGTCGTCTCCGCATCCTCGGGGTCCACCAGCCAGCCGTGGCACAGCGAGATGTCCAGCAAGTCGAAAATGCTCACGAACTGGGTGGGCTCGAAGCTGTGAAAAGGGGGCGTGGGGGAAGGGGAGGGGGATTTTAGGGCAACTCACATGCAACAAGCGCAAAGAGCAAAGCGCAAAAAATAAAGGTGAAAGGATTTTTTTGGGAGAGAGCATCGGGGAATGGAATGTTCTAGACGAGTGACGCAGATACCAGAGATAGGCGCATAGAGAGGAGAGATAGGAGGACCCGAGCACAAAGTCACATCAGGATTGGTGACTTGGAGCTAGTGGGCCGGCTTGGGGAGGAAATCATACGCAAAACCGCGTTGGTGGTGTTGGGGAGGGAGCGGGGGAGGAAAGGAAGGGTTAAGATGAACCACAGACGAGCGAAGCAGAAACCAGAGATAACGGGATACCCCAGGAATCGACAGATAGGAGGGAGGGGGCCGACTTTCTTTCATGAAGTGATTTCGTTCACTTTTTTATTTCTACGAAGCCATGTGACGCTAGGGGGAATTGGAATAGCTAGGAGAGCGCCGAAAATGATTTGCGATGTGGGTCAGCGCCCTCTGAGGGTAAGGAAGCGCCGATTGACCTTGAGGAATGAGTCCGGGGTTTATTACAAGGGTGAAGCACACCAATCAACCTTTAGGCTCAAATAACGCGTTCGTGAGCGGATCCGGCCCTAGGCTGGCTGGCTTTCAGGAAGAACCGAGTTTGAGATGTGGGTCAGCGGAGATCGGGGTCGACGGGGGTTTGAATTGAAACGCCTTTCCAGGGCGGGCTTCAGTTGGCATAGCGGGACAGATATGGATCACATATCCTTCTGAATACGGGTTTCGGTGGAATGAGATTTTGTTGGGGATAGGGTGGCTGGCTTGGGAGTCTGAACGGACGCAGGAGCGTCGACACCCGTCTCCATGTCACAGGACAAGTTGGCCTTCGGATGAAACCCTACACGCACCCGAAGACGCTGTTAAAGCGCACGTTGACGTCCATACCCACAGCCAATTTGTGCAGACTGTCCAAGCTGTCTGACAAGTTTTGCTGGAGGTCAGCCGCGAAGGCGTGTCCATGGCTACCGGTGGCCGATCCCAAATTGGAGTCCACCAGCCGCTCCGCGACCATCTCAATCAGGCGTTTCTGGCTGACGGTGGTGGCTGAGGAGGAAAGATCGGGAAGTTGGTTGCGCAAGGATAGGACGTTTGCCTGGGTGGTGCGCGGGAAAAGGATGGGAAAAAGCAGGTGGTTGGGGTCAGAGAAAGGGCTGATGTAGCTAGGTGGTGGTTTTCAGAGGATGTTGGGAAATAGGCCAGTTGTGAAACACACATACGGTGCGGATACAAGGTAAGTGCCGTATGAAAGTGCAGGTGACGTGATCGTGCAGATGTGTCTACGTATACACGGAGACGAAGACGCACCAGCGCGAGGAGCGGGCACGGTCCATTATGACTCTGCATAAAGATTGGTGTGGCAGACCGTCCGAAAAACTGGATGCGCTTAATGTTGTATTGGTCGTCAGCTTCCTCCATTTGTGTCAGTGCCCGTTCGCGAGCGATACGTGTGGCTTCACTCTTGTAAGGCAGGTAGGCTGCTAATAAACAGTATGAATATAGAGGCGCCTAAGATGCCCTGTGTGCTGCATTTGTTTTGACCGGCTCCAAGGGCTAATAGTATCCATCCGCAAGAGCACTTTTGTTAACGAAGCATATACTGTAAAGAGCGAACGCGATGCGGTTGTGAATTGGATGAATGAATGCCATGAGCGTGGGGAACGAGACTGCGTGCATAAGGTTGGTTGGCACTATTTACAGTTGCACGGCAATGTTGGCATCCCTATGGCTCTGAGATTTTTCCCACGCAAACAAGCAGCGCCATAAACATGACGCATATGCCTCGTTAATTGCTTTTAGGAGTCGCTGAATATCTCGAGGATCTTTGGTGCCCATGCACATAGCTTAGTAGCATCCAAGCACAGCTGTCATGGCGCAGCAATTGTTCGAACAGTGGTTCCGTATCGCTGATGCAGACAAAGATGGAGCGGTTGGAGGTGGCGAAGCTGTGTCATTTTTCATGCGCTCGGCACTTCCGCAACTTGTTCTTGGGCAGGCAAGTAATCGATAACATCGATCACTATACACCCGCACGCAAATCTGATGTGCGTCTTTGTTGCGGTCATGGCCTGAATCCTGGCATTTCTGCGCCAACTGCACAAACCTTCAGATCTGGGAGCTTGCTTCTGGTGGGGCTCCAAAGCTTAATCAAACTCAGTTCTCGGCGGCAATGCGCCTGGTCGCTCTAGCGCAGGTAACCTAGGAACCTTTGCAATCTGGCATGGACTTGATGCACCCAGCAGCATCGTGCGGTTTCATTGCCCTGCCGCACGCAATCGGGAGTGTCTCACAACTGCACACATCTTTTGAAATCCGGACCTATGGCAGAGGAGGTTACAATGTTAGTAGGGTTACGAGCTTGGCATGCGCAAACCTTCCGGGGCACCAACTGCATTCTATCCACCGCAAAGCAGCGGCAAGCAAATTCTGAAGGTCGACAGCAGTTGTTCCTTTGCTTATGATTCCACCCACCCGCTCACTGACCTGTCATTTCTCACGCATCATCCAGGCACGCGGCGGCCAGCTGCCCCTAGACCAAGCCCGCGCGGTCATAGCCGGAGTCGGCCCAGCCCTGCCACCTCCCACTCTGCAAGGCCTCGACCCATCTGGCGCAGCAACAGGGCAACCCGGAGCCCCTTTCATTCCCTCCGCAGCGACAGCCACGGGAGCTCCCAGGCCTGTCGGCGTCACAGTTTCCACAGCAGCTGCACCGCAGTACGGCGCCGCCATGGGTGCCGTACCTTCCCCGTATAACGCACAGCTGACGGGAGGACCTGGCAGCAGCGCCGCAGGTTTGCTTCGGCCAATCGGTGCGTCTGGTGGTGGTAGTGGCGGCGGGGCTGCTGTGGGAGTTGCTCCCGGCGCCATGCCGGCGGCGGCAGCGGCGCCATCGGCGGCGGCGGCGGCGGGTGGTTATCCTCTTCTGGCGGCCTCTGATATTCAGCGGTTGCAGGCTAGTTTTGTGCAGCTGGACGCTGATCGTGATGGCTTTGTTACGGTAAGGAAAAGGGCAGTGTGTCCGTAATGAGAGCGTGTGGGGGAGGACGGGGCAGGGCCGCGAAAGAAGCGAAAGACGGAGGGAGAGCATTAGGGAAAGAGATATACCCTTTTCAATGTATTCAATACAAAGGCGGCTGGCAGAGGTTAAGGCCTGACTTCTGCACCTGGCCGACCCGGGTTCAAATCCGCCTGCCGGCTCCTCGGGTGTTTGAGGAGTGATGAAATGGGAGGTGGCCCCCCATCATATGGACGGTGTAGGACGTGATAATATCAACTTGCGAGCTGACCAGGAACTAAGTTGATGCGCCGTTGATCCGCTAGATTTGGTTGGATGCTGGTGGTGAGTTGCCGAACCCAACGAATACATTCTGAAGTCGGATGGGGTGACGGATTAGGGTGCCCCTCTAGCAGGTGAGAGCAGGGACTGCCCCGGGAAAGGGGGCCGCTGGCGAAGTTAACCACCCTGTAAAAAAATATATATATGATGAAAGGAGCTAGGTAGGAAGTTAAGGTGGGGAGAAAAAGAGGCACGCGTGTCGCTCCCGTGTCGTACACTTACATCATACGTCGTACCCTTCGGTATATAAGAGCACATAGCAAAACTATCTTGAGCTTTTTTGGCTCCCATCTAGCTGCTACCTGGTCAGCGTTCGGGCGCGCATACGGGGGGGTGCTTGCTTCCTAAAGCGCGCTGCTTGAAAGTGCGGGGCTTTACTCTCCTGCAATGCCGAAGGAAGCGACTGGTGATTGCTTCTTGCCGGGGGGTGTTACGCTGGCACACCGCCGCCGCCGCCGCATAGCTCCACAAACAGTGTGCTGCTTTATTGATGTTACCTGCCTGATGGACATACATACATATATACATACATACACACATATATTAACATACTTGTATACATGCAGGGCGCCGAGTGCTTCGGCTTCTTTTCCCAGTCGGGTTTGGAGAAGCCCGTGTTGCGGGACATTTGGAGCCTGGTGGCTGGCAACGAGAGTCGCCTCTCCAGCGCGCAATTCGTAGCCTTCCTCTACCTCATAGACTGTGTCAAACGGGGATTACCACTGCCCAAGTACTTGCCGCCAGGACTGGTGGGATTTCCGCCTGTGGCACCAACGGCTGCGGCGGCGCCGCCGCAGCCAGTGGCGTGGTCCCTTCAGTCCCAGTTTGGTACGAGCAGCAACATCACGGCGGTGCTGGCGGCGCCGCAAACGACGTCCCTGCCGGCGCCGCCGCCGCCGCCGACCCTGCCGGCCAAGTTGGATCTGGCGGCGATGGCTGGTGAGCGGTTGACGGCGCCGCCGTCAGCATCACAACACGTCTCCCATGTGCCGGCGGTGCCGCCGGCGCTGCTTGCCAATGTGTCGGCCATGGACCGGTGAGCGAGTCCTTGTGTGAAGTTATGAAGTGATGCGAAGCTAAGGGAAGTGCTAGTGGGGATCCCCTCCCATTTTTCGATGGGAGGGAATGTATGATTATGTGCAAATGCAAAGGAGAGGTCGCCCGGGGGCTGCCGCTCTGGCGGGTGGCAGCCTGCCGCCGCCGCCCCTGCTGGGGTTGCTGTTACCGGGTTACCGGGGGTTTGATGATGATGAACGCAAATGGAGGACATCGCCACGGCCGCATATGCGGACTAGGGCCGCCTGCTGTTGGCCGGATGCTCTATGAGGAGGAGGCCGCGAGCCACGGCTGGGGCATTTGCCTCTTGCCTCCACCCCCTGCCCCACCCATCCCTCACTCCCGGTCACCATCATTACCATTATCAGCCCTAGGTCGCCGCCTTCAAGAACGCCTACTGATCAGTTCTGCTTCTTGTATACTCTTTTCCTTGGCAGCAGCTTCACTCGTTTGTGGTTCGTCTTTCCCCCATTCCCAACCCTGTCCCCCCGACTCCCCATATTGCAGGTGGTTTGAACCCCCTCCCTTTCTTTCCTTTATAACGGTTGCCCCTCACTCAGTAACCCTTCTCACCAATACCGCCCCCCCTCTGCAGCACCAAGCTCCAAGAGGAGCTGCAGGTGTGTGAGGCCAGGGAGACGGCGCTTCAAAGTGCGGAGGAGAGGGCGGCGGAGGCCCGGGCCCGTCAGGCCCAACTGACAACCGCCCTACAGGAGTTGGTTGTGTTCCGAAACCGTACGGAAGTAGCGTTGCTCACCTCCCAGGAACAAGCGAAAAGGCTGGAGGAGGAGCTGGAGGGGA